TTTGGGTTATGTCTCTTCACTGACAACCTCTCCCCTTCTATAAATAGGACCCTTGGACATCCATTTTTTCATCCCAATGATATGCAATTATAGCATAACATTACTTTGTTCTTCCTCTACCAAAATTCTACATAAACTTTTCATAATTCTGGTTTTCTTTTGTTCATTCAAAAAAGGAGTACAAAATCCGGTTTTAGTTCGCTGATCTAGTGTTTTGGAGTGCTACTAACACGAGAGGACAGTCATTGTATCTTAGAAGTTGATTGCCATCATCCGTAGGCACTGTTGCTAGTCAAAATCGATTTAAGGACAAAGAGTTCAACTTTTACCTTGACTTTACATCCATTTCATATGGCGTTATTTCTATGGAATATTTTTTTTCCTTGTTTACTTGCCATTATTTTGTGCAATTTTCAATAAGGTATTTAAGTTTGTTTTTAGTTTCAAATTCATCACTCTATTATTTTGTTCAACAATCTTAAGTCGAGTTTTGGAGTGATTACATTATCCTATTTGGTTAAACTAGTTTCGCTTTAGTCTAACATCTTCTACCCATTCTCGAATTTGATTTGTGGTTTATTTTATATTTTGTGTAAAAAGAAATGAATACGATTTTCAATACCGATTCCACTTCATATGATACTTTGAATGTGGGAACTTCGGAAGGAATTGTTCCTACCGTTGCGATCTCTTCGGTTACGATTGTCCCTCCCACCATTCATACGAATTTCGTTCCATATAGAGAGAAATAGAGAAATTTATTAGGGTTGAATTTAAAAGATGGCAACAGAAAATGTTGTTCCATATTACTTCCTTAAACCTGGTAAAATTCTTAAATGAAGATGCTCCCTTCGTGCAAGAAGGTAAAAATAACAAGGTATCACTAATAGCATTGGGTTCTTGGGAACATTCAAATTTCTTATGTAAGAACTACATACTGAATGGGGTTGCTAAATGCAAAAAATTGAACCCTTAAGAAAATGATGAATGCAATGTTGATTAGTTTAGGCTTGCTTCAAAACTTATGGAGGGAAGCAATTCTTTTGGCAAATCATATTCCTAATAAAATACCACACAAAAGTAAGATTGAATCACCTTATGAGTTATGAAAAGGTCGAAAACCTTCCAACAAATATCTTAAAGCGTGAGGGTTTTTAGCTAAGGTACAAATACTAAACCTAAAAGTAAACATTGGATCCAAGATAACAGATTGTGTCCTTATCGAATGTGCAAACAATACTAATGCATATCGATTTTTGGTTAATAAATCGAAAATACTTGATGTACATGAAGGTACAATCATTGAATTAAGGAATGGTGGTTCCTTTGAAGTTATCTTTCCGTGTAAGGAAAAAATAAGTTCACACAAACGAACTTATGATGCTACAAGTGGAAACCATCTAGAAGATGACAATAATCAAGTAGATGAAGAACCAAGGACATTTGATGAAAAATGTCCTCTCCTGAAAATCCTTTCTGGAAAGAAGCGGCTAATCATGAAATTGAATTCATCATGAATAACCATACTTGGAAATTGGTTGAACTCCCTTCAGGAAACAAGGCTTTAGGTTACAATTGGATCTTTAAAAAGAAATTTAAATTGAATGGATCAATAGACAAATATAAGACTAGATTAGTAGCCAAATGATACAGATAAAAGGAAGGACTAGCTTTTTTCAATACTTATTAACCTATTACTAGGATCACTTCACGTGTATTGATTGCAACTGGGGCATTGTAAAATCTTGAAAAACATCAAAAACTTGTAAAATCTTTATATGATTTAAAACAAGTTTCGAAGCAGTGGCATAAAAAATTTGACACAATCATGTTGTTAAATGCTTCAATATTAATGAATGTGACAATTGACAAGTGTGTCTACATAAAAAACGCACCTAACGATTATGTGATCGTATGCCTATATGTTGATGATATGATAATCATGGAAAATAACTCGAACACTATTTTCTCAACTAAGAAAATGTTGGTCAAAGGAATTGCGGACGTGATATTGTGGATTAAGATCTCTAAGACACTTGATGGTTTGTCATTGCCTTAATCATACTATATTGAGGCTATACTTAAGAAATTTAAGGCATATGACGTATCTCAATTGGAATATTCACATGTTATAGGTAGTTTGATATACATTACAAATTGCATGCATTCAAATATAGTATATGTAGTCAACAAGTTGAGTCGATTTACAAGTAATCCAAGTATTGATCATTGGAAGGCATTAACTTGAGTACTTATATACTTAAGACACACGGTTGGGTATGGATTACACAACTCAAGATATCTTGCTGTGTTGTAAGGATATACCGATGAAAATTGGATATCTGACATAAAGGATTCAACGTCTACAAATTGTTATGTATTTATCATTGGGGGCAAAGTTGTGTCTTGAAAATCATCTAAACAAACTTGTATAGCTTGATCCATGATGAAATCTGAGTTTATTAGTTTAGATACAACCAAAGAAAAAAGCGGAATGGCTTCGTAATTTTCTCGAAGACATCCATGTTGGGAAAAGCCGATACCTGCGATTAATATCCATTGTGATAATCAATCGATAATTGTAAGGGCACAAAATAGTATATATAATGGTAAATCTCGATATATACATCAGAGACATAATACCGTTAAACTGTTAATATCAAATGGTTTAATCTCGATTCATTATATTAGATCAAAAGACAACTTAGTGGATCCTTTGATGAAAGGACTTACAAGAGATCAAGTATACCATCTCTGGAAGGAGAATGAGCCTAAAGCCTATCGAATGGAATCTCAATAATGGAAATCCAACCTTATAGATTGGAGATCCCAAGATCTTGGTTCAATGAGATAACCAAGTTATGAAAGATTCAAAGTAAAGCACTTACTCCCATTCCTTCAAACCTTAAGTGTTAAAGTAAAATTGCATATAAGGATAAGTGTATACTTTTAATAATTCTTACACCATCGAAGAAAGTTATAAGATCACCTATATAAGTGTAAAGTGGGGCCACTTCTACTAGAATTTGAGGCTTAAATTCTCTTAAAGCACTTATGAAACCAACAGTTGTTCAGGGCCCAAATAAACATAACCATGAGAACTGAATTGGTTAGATAAGTTAAAGCGATGGTATAGTTGTTTTGATTTATACAAATGACTGAACGGTTCAAAACATCAAGTTCACCAATTAGCTTAGTAAATTCGATTTTATTCAACTAAGGAAGGTTCAAAGCCATAAGTCACCTATCTTGACGCTATAATCTACATATCATTTACATTATGTATTGCATATTGTGAATTTCCATTCATCTGGGGATTGTTGGAATTGGTTAAATATAAAAATGGGAAAAGATTTTTGTGTAAACTTCGACCAAATATTCGGATTGGATCCAACTATTAATATAAACATACTAACTTATTCTACTCGTCGAGTAGATCTTCGTAGTGTATTTGGAATCTCAAAATCAATTTTGAATGAATGAGAAATTGCGATCTAAAGTTGGAAAGAGAGAGAAGAAAAATTGTCTGAGATTCAACCAACTCTACTACTCGCGTAGTGCTAGTCTTGCACTCGAGCGATGAGGCTGTCGCTCGAGCAATAGGTCAGGGCAGGTGAGCGATGGCCTCACTTATTTTGACACTCAATCAAGACAAAAATGACAAGCGAGCGACAGCAAAAGCTGTGACACTTGGCAAAGGTTGCTGAGTTTGACATGTCTCTTCACTCACAACCTCTCTCCCTCTATAAACAAGACTTTTGGGGCATCCATTTTTTCATCCCAATGATATGCCATCATAGCATAACATTATTTTCTTCTTTCTCTATCAAAATTCTGCATAAACTTTGCATAAATTTTGATTTTCTTTTGTTCATAAAAAAGTACAAAATTCAATTTTGGTTCCTTGATCTCGTGTTTTTTAGTGCTACTAACGCAAGAGGATAATCATATTATCTTGAGAGTTGTATCTTGAGAGTTGATTGCCATCATCCGTGTAGGCACCATTGCTAGACAAAATCGATTTAAGAACATCAATTCTCTCCTCAACTTCACATTTATTTCATTTGGCATTATTTTTGTGGAATATTTTTTCCTTATTTCTTTGCCATTATTTTGTCCAATTTTCGGTAAGGTTGGTAAGTTTTTTTTTATTTTAAAGTCATCACTCTATTATTTTTTCCAATAGAGAGCACGCAAAAGAAATTCTTGATTCTTTTACAAGTGTAAAATTCATCACAAAAATTACATCAGAAATACTCATTTTTCTCGGATTGGTAAAATTATAAGTATGTACCACTTATAAGTTATGAGGTCACTTTCTCATCAGTTGGCTAACTAAAGGTTGTACCACATAAATGGCATAGTATCAGGGAAAAAAAATGGAAATAGGCCCTTTTTATAAATATCATTATGGGAAGCACTGCATTGATAGCGTGTTTGGTGAAATAGGAGTTTCGTGAAATAAATTCATCAGTATCGGATAAAAAAAAAATTTTAAAAATATAGCCCCTCTTAGGGTGGTGGAGGAGGTGAGCGGAAAGGCTTTTGATCACGAGTTCGATTCCCTCTACCAACGTCTATTTGGTTGAGCCTATCGCATTGGGCTTGCCTAGTGTAGTTCACCTTACTGACGTGGTTTGTAGGCTATTGCGTCAGTTCGAATATTTACCTAGTGCGCACCCGAAGAGTAACGACTGCGAATTCCCCCGTTATAAAAATTAAAAATTAAAAATTAAAAATATTAAAAATATACATATATATAATATTGATTTTTATCTTATCCAATACTTGTATACTTGAGTCAAGGAGATACTATTATATACTTGTGAAACATGTTTGGTACAAATTATTTGGAGACTATAATAGAAGAAATTTAATTTTTAGTTTTTCTTTAATGCAATTTATTTCACAAAACAAGTCACATAAACAGTGGTGAAGCTTAGACAAAGTCAGATGATGGAGTTAATGATGTCGTACAATGAGGACTTTGAATCACGAGAGCAGGCCCAAATATGGCACTGTTTAGCTTCCTTTGCGGTCTTAAAGTAGTTAACCGACATAAACTCATCAAATAATATAATTCAGTTTGTTTTTGGTATTCATATGATCACATGCATCCTTTGAAGCATATTTCTATACTTAGTTGCCTTCTCTGTCCACAACTCAATGGTGCCGTCAAAGAAGTTCAGAGGTGTCAGGCAACGTCACTGGGGATCTTGGGTTTCTGAAATTCGCCATCCCTTACTGTAATGATCTCTCTCTCTCTCTCTCTCTCTCTCTCTCTCTCTCTCGTTTCTCTTGAAGTTCTTGATTTGGAAGTTGAGCATTGCTGCAGAGGGGACTGGGATAGTGGGATGGGATGGGATGGCGTGGGGTGGGGTGGGGTGGCAGTTGGGGGCTGAAGAGAAACCCTAACTCTTGAATCCTTGATGCACTTCCATGAGATGATAAGAAACTTTCCAACCCCACACCTAAGCAGCAATTCTGAGAATCCTAACCAAGAAATTAACATTTGCATGTCAAACTGACGAGGTATGGTGGATGAACCTTGCTATATGTATATGAAGAATTGTCGGACTACATTACAGAGGATAGGTGACATGCGTTCACTGCATCTTGGATAAAAATCAATTTTATCCCAATCAATGCATATGCGTCACCTATCTCCCCGGCAATCTCCTCTGTACAAGGGGCTTGACTCATGGTAGATAGGGATACAGTCCACTGCAATGTGACTGAGTGGAAGGAGTTGTGCGCTGTTAGGATCACTCTTCACGAGATACGTAGTGCAATTAAGCCCTAAGAAATCCTTTCATGATATTTGCCAGGAAGCGAACTGGACCTTCATCTTCAGCATAACTCAAATGACCCCCAACACACACCGAATAGTATTGAGTAGTATCACCGTAAAGATTTTAGTTTCTTTTTCTTCTAACAGCGTCGAGTTATTGTTACCTAACAAGCCAATATAATATGAAGAAATTATGAGGAATCACATGATTCTCAAAGTGCTGATTTGAGTTTTACAATACTGTGTGATGACAGGAAAAGGAGAGTGTGGCTAGGTACATTTGACACAGCAGAAGAGGCAGCAAGAGCATATGATGAAGCAGCCATTTTAATGAGTGGCAGAAATGCAAAGACGAACTTCCCATTAAATCATGATCATCAAAATTCTGATGGAGAAACAAACACTAGTAATGATCAAAAATCACCAACGAAATCGATATCCCCAAAACCCTTATCCGAAATTCTTCGATCCAAACTCCGAAAATGCAACAAGGCACCATCTCCATCTCTCACTTGTTTGAGGCTGGACGTTGAGAATTCCGGCATAGGAGTGTGGCAAAAGCGTGCTGGTCCATCATCAGATTCAAAATGGGTAATGAGGGTCGAGTTTGATCAGAATAAAGAGAAATATTCAAAATCTGCAGAAGATCAAGAATTTAATTCTTCGTCTAAGTCCCCAGTACTGCAGTTTCACGGTTCGACCATGAGAAGTGGAATGGAAGAAGAGGAGAGAATTGCACTGCAAATGATTGAAGAACTTCTTCAAACATGAACAGTTTCCAGAAGGTTTGTGCATTTGGGGAGGACAGAAAAAATAAAGTAAGAATTATATTCCAGTATTGAAAAATAAAACTGAAATATATTTGGAGGAATTATCCATGGAAAATAATATACAAAGAGTCAAATAAAAAAAAATAAAAAATAAAAAAGTAGAGAAAATGTGACTATATTGATGACTTCAATTTATCATTGTGGTTTTTTTCTTGATTGTCCCTCCCACCATTCATACGAATTTCGTTCCATATAGAGAGAAATAGAGAAATTTATTAGGGTTGAATTTAAAAGATGGCAACAGAAAATGTTGTTCCATATTACTTCCTTAAACCTGGTAAAATTCTTAAATGAAGATGCTCCCTTCGTGCAAGAAGGTAAAAATAACAGGGTATCACTAATAGCATTGGGTTCTTGGGAACATTCAAATTTCTTATGTAAGAACTACATACTGAATGGGGTTGCTAAATGCAAAAAATTGAACCCTTAAGAAAATGATGAATGCAATGTTGATTAGTTTAGGCTTGCTTCAAAACTTATGGAGGGAAGCAATTCTTTTGGCAAATCATATTCCTAATAAAATACCACACAAAAGTAAGATTGAATCACCTTATGAGTTATGAAAAGGTCGAAAACCTTCCAACAAATATCTTAAAGCGTGAGGGTTTTTAGCTAAGGTACAAATACTAAACCTAAAAGTAAACATTGGATCCAAGATAACAGATTGTGTCCTTATCGAATGTGCAAACAATACTAATGCATATCGATTTTTGGTTAATAAATCGAAAATACTTGATGTACATGAAGGTACAATCATTGAATTAAGGAATGGTGGTTCCTTTGAAGTTATCTTTCCGTGTAAGGAAAAAATAAGTTCACACAAACGAACTTATGATGCTACAAGTGGAAACCATCTAGAAGATGACAATAATCAAGTAGATGAAGAACCAAGGACATTTGATGAAAAATGTCCTCTCCTGAAAATCCTTTCTGGAAAGAAGCGGCTAATCATGAAATTGAATTCATCATGAATAACCATACTTGGAAATTGGTTGAACTCCCTTCAGGAAACAAGGCTTTAGGTTACAATTGGATCTTTAAAAAGAAATTTAAATTGAATGGATCAATAGACAAATATAAGACTAGATTAGTAGCCAAATGATACAGATAAAAGGAAGGACTAGCTTTTTTCAATACTTATTAACCTATTACTAGGATCACTTCACGTGTATTGATTGCAACTGGGGCATTGTAAAATCTTGAAAAACATCAAAAACTTGTAAAATCTTTATATGATTTAAAACAAGTTTCGAAGCAGTGGCATAAAAAATTTGACACAATCATGTTGTTAAATGCTTCAATATTAATGAATGTGACAATTGACAAGTGTGTCTACATAAAAAACGCACCTAACGATTATGTGATCGTATGCCTATATGTTGATGATATGATAATCATGGAAAATAACTCGAACACTATTTTCTCAACTAAGAAAATGTTGGTCAAAGGAATTGCGGACGTGATATTGTGGATTAAGATCTCTAAGACACTTGATGGTTACTATATTGAGGCTATACTTAAGAAATTTAAGGCATATGACGTATCTCAATTGGAATATTCACATGTTATAGGTAGTTTGATATACATTACAAATTGCATGCATTCAAATATAGTATATGTAGTCAACAAGTTGAGTCGATTTACAAGTAATCCAAGTATTGATCATTGGAAGGCATTAACCTGAGTACTTATATACTTAAGACACTTACTATATTGAGGCTATACTTAAGAAATTTAAGGCATATGACGTATCTCAATTGGAATATTCACATGTTATAGGTAGTTTGATATACATTACAAATTGCATGCATTCAAATATAGTATATGTAGTCAACAAGTTGAGTCGATTTACAAGTAATCCAAGTATTGATCATTGGAAGGCATTAACTTGAGTACTTATATACTTAAGACACACGGTTGGGTATGGATTACACAACTCAAGATATCTTGCTGTGTTGTAAGGATATACCGATGAAAATTGGATATCTGACATAAAGGATTCAACGTCTACAAATTGTTATGTATTTATCATTGGGGGCAAAGTTGTGTCTTGAAAATCATCTAAACAAACTTGTATAGCTTGATCCATGATGAAATCTGAGTTTATTAGTTTAGATACAACCAAAGAAAAAAGCGGAATGGCTTCGTAATTTTCTCGAAGACATCCATGTTGGGAAAAGCCGATACCTGCGATTAATATCCATTGTGATAATCAATCGATAATTGTAAGGGCACAAAATAGTATATATAATGGTAAATCTCGATATATACATCAGAGACATAATACTGTTAAACTGTTAATATCAAATGGTTTATTCTCGATTCATTATATTAGATCAAAAGACAACTTAGTGGATCCTTTGATGAAAGGACTTACAAGAGATCAAGTATACCATCTCTGGAAGGAGAATGAGCCTAAAGCCTATCGAATGGAATCTCAATAATGGAAATCCAACCTTATAGATTGGAGATCCCAAGATCTTGGTTCAATGAGATAACCAAGTTATGAAAGATTCAAAGTAAAGCACTTACTCCCATTCCTTCAAACCTTAAGTGTTAAAGTAAAATTGCATATAAGGATAAGTGTATACTTTTAATAATTCTTACACCATCGAAGAAAGTTATAAGATCACCTATATAAGTGTAAAGTGGGGCCACTTCTACTAGAATTTGAGGCTTAAATTCTCTTAAAGCACTTATGAAACCAACAGTTGTTCAGGGCCCAAATAAACATAACCATGAGAACTGAATTGGTTAGATAAGTTAAAGCGATGGTATAGTTGTTTTGATTTATACAAATGACTGAACGGTTCAAAACATCAAGTTCACCAATTAGCTTAGTAAATTCGATTTTATTCAACTAAGGAAGGTTCAAAGCCATAAGTCACCTATCTTGACGCTATAATCTACATATCATTTACATTATGTATTGCATATTGTGAATTTCCATTCATCTGGGGATTGTTGGAATTGGTTAAATATAAAAATGGGAAAAGATTTTTGTGTAAACTTCGACCAAATATTCGGATTGGATCCAACTATTAATATAAACATACTAACTTATTCTACTCGTCGAGTAGATCTTCGTAGTGTATTTGGAATCTCAAAATCAATTTTGAATGAATGAGAAATTGCGATCTAAAGTTGGAAAGAGAGAGAAGAAAAATTGTCTGAGATTCAACCAACTCTACTACTCGCGTAGTGCTAGTCTTGCACTCGAGCGATGAGGCTGTCGCTCGAGCAATAGGTCAGGGCAGGTGAGCGATGGCCTCACTTATTTTGACACTCAATCAAGACAAAAATGACAAGCGAGCGACAGCAAAAGCTGTGACACTTGGCAAAGGTTGCTGAGTTTGACATGTCTCTTCACTCACAACCTCTCTCCCTCTATAAACAAGACTTTTGGGGCATCCATTTTTTCATCCCAATGATATGCCATCATAGCATAACATTATTTTCTTCTTTCTCTATCAAAATTCTGCATAAACTTTGCATAAATTTTGATTTTCTTTTGTTCATAAAAAAGTACAAAATTCAATTTTGGTTCCTTGATCTCGTGTTTTTTAGTGCTACTAACGCAAGAGGATAATCATATTATCTTGAGAGTTGTATCTTGAGAGTTGATTGCCATCATCCGTGTAGGCACCATTGCTAGACAAAATCGATTTAAGAACATCAATTCTCTCCTCAACTTCACATTTATTTCATTTGGCATTATTTTTGTGGAATATTTTTTCCTTATTTCTTTGCCATTATTTTGTCCAATTTTCGGTAAGGTTGGTAAGTTTTTTTTTATTTTAAAGTCGTCACTCTATTATTTTTTCCAATAGAGAGCACGCAAAAGAAATTCTTGATTCTTTTACAAGTGTAAAATTCATCACAAAAATTACATCAGAAATACTCATTTTTCTCGGATTGGTAAAATTATAAGTATGTACCACTTATAAGTTATGAGGTCACTTTCTCATCAGTTGGCTAACCAAAGGTTGTACCACATAAATGGCATAGTATCAGGGAAAAAAAATGGAAATAGGCCCTTTTTATAAATATCATTATGGGAAGCACTGCATTGATAGCGTGTTTGGTGAAATAGGAGTTTCGTGAAATAAATTCATCAGTATCGGATAAAAAAAAATTTTTAAAAATATAGCCCCTCTTAGGGTGGTGGAGTAGGTGAGCGGAAAGGCTTTTGATCACGAGTTCGATTCCCTCTACCAACGTCTATTTGGTTGAGCCTATCGCATTGGGCTTGCCTAGTGTAGTTCACCTTACTGACGTGGTTTGTAGGCTATTGCGTCAGTTCGAATATTTACCTAGTGCGCACCCGAAGAGTAACGACTGCGAATTCCCCCGTTATAAAAATTAAAAATTAAAAATTAAAAATATTAAAAATATACATATATATAATATTGATTTTTATCTTATCCAATACTTGTATACTTGAGTCAAGGAGATACTATTATATACTTGTGAAACATGTTTGGTACAAATTATTTGGAGACTATAATAGAAGAAATTTAATTTTTAGTTTTTCTTTAATGCAATTTATTTCACAAAACAAGTCACATAAACAGTGGTGAAGCTTAGACAAAGTCAGATGATGGAGTTAATGATGTCGTACAATGAGGACTTTGAATCACGAGAGCAGGCCCAAATATGGCACTGTTTAGCTTCCTTTGCGGTCTTAAAGTAGTTAACCGACATAAACTCATCAAATAATATAATTCAGTTTGTTTTTGGTATTCATATGATCACATGCATCCTTTGAAGCATATTTCTATACTTAGTTGCCTTCTCTGTCCACAACTCAATGGTGCCGTCAAAGAAGTTCAGAGGTGTCAGGCAACGTCACTGGGGATCTTGGGTTTCTGAAATTCGCCATCCCTTACTGTAATGATCTCTCTCTCTCTCTCTCTCTCTCTCTCTCTCTCTCTCGTTTCTCTTGAAGTTCTTGATTTGGAAGTTGAGCATTGCTGCAGAGGGGACTGGGATAGTGGGATGGGATGGGATGGCGTGGGGTGGGGTGGGGTGGCAGTTGGGGGCTGAAGAGAAACCCTAACTCTTGAATCCTTGATGCACTTCCATGAGATGATAAGAAACTTTCCAACCCCACACCTAAGCAGCAATTCTGAGAATCCTAACCAAGAAATTAACATTTGCATGTCAAACTGACGAGGTATGGTGGATGAACCTTGCTATATGTATATGAAGAATTGTCGGACTACATTACAGAGGATAGGTGACATGCGTTCACTGCATCTTGGATAAAAATCAATTTTATCCCAATCAATGCATATGCGTCACCTATCTCCCCGGCAATCTCCTCTGTACAAGGGGCTTGACTCATGGTAGATAGGGATACAGTCCACTGCAATGTGACTGAGTGGAAGGAGTTGTGCGCTGTTAGGATCACTCTTCACGAGATACGTAGTGCAATTAAGCCCTAAGAAATCCTTTCATGATATTTGCCAGGAAGCGAACTGGACCTTCATCTTCAGCATAACTCAAATGACCCCCAACACACACCGAATAGTATTGAGTAGTATCACCGTAAAGATTTTAGTTTCTTTTTCTTCTAACAGCGTCGAGTTATTGTTACCTAACAAGCCAATATAATATGAAGAAATTATGAGGAATCACATGATTCTCAAAGTGCTGATTTGAGTTTTACAATACTGTGTGATGACAGGAAAAGGAGAGTGTGGCTAGGTACATTTGACACAGCAGAAGAGGCAGCAAGAGCATATGATGAAGCAGCCATTTTAATGAGTGGCAGAAATGCAAAGACGAACTTCCCATTAAATCATGATCATCAAAATTCTGATGGAGAAACAAACACTAGTAATGATCAAAAATCACCAACGAAATCGATATCCCCAAAACCCTTATCCGAAATTCTTCGATCCAAACTCCGAAAATGCAACAAGGCACCATCTCCATCTCTCACTTGTTTGAGGCTGGACGTTGAGAATTCCGGCATAGGAGTGTGGCAAAAGCGTGCTGGTCCATCATCAGATTCAAAATGGGTAATGAGGGTCGAGTTTGATCAGAATAAAGAGAAATATTCAAAATCTGCAGAAGATCAAGAATTTAATTCTTCGTCTAAGTCCCCAGTACTGCAGTTTCACGGTTCGACCATGAGAAGTGGAATGGAAGAAGAGGAGAGAATTGCACTGCAAATGATTGAAGAACTTCTTCAAACATGAACAGTTTCCAGAAGGTTTGTGCATTTGGGGAGGACAGAAAAAATAAAGTAAGAATTATATTCTAGTATTGAAAAATAAAACTGAAATATAGTTGGAGGAATTATCCATGGAAAATAATATACAAAGAGTCAAATGGACGTTGAGAATTCCGGCATAGGAGTGTGGCAAAAGCGTGCTGGTCCATCATCAGATTCAAAATGGGTAATGAGGGTCGAGTTTGATCAGAATAAAGAGAAATATTCAAAATCTGCAGAAGATCAAGAATTTAATTCTTCGTCTAAGTCCCCAGTACTGCAGTTTCACGGTTCGACCATGAGAAGTGGAATGGAAGAAGAGCAGAGAATTGCACTGCAAATGATTGAAGAACTTCTTCAAACATGAACAGTTTCCAGAAGGTTTGTGCATTTGGGGAGGACAGAAAAAATAAAGTAAGAATTATATTCCAGTATTGAAAAATAAAACTGAAATATATTTGGAGGAATTATCCATGGAAAATAATATACAAAGAGTCAAATAAAAAAAAATAAAAAATAAAAAAGTAGAGAAAATGTGACTATATTGATGACTTCAATTTATCATTGTGGTTTTTTTCTTTCTCTAAATAATCTTTTGCCCAATCTCTTTTTATAACTCAATTTAAGATCATAAATCTAAAATTAATTATTAGACATATGTAATCATCGTCTAAGATTTTGTTGATCATTGTAGTATTTTTCATTATTATGTGCGATTGCTTTCTTAATCCTTTGGTTATGTAGTTGTCATAGAACTATTTAATTTTGCAATAGCTTTATAAATCAGAATCATTCTCTTTTTATATGTAATAATATCTGATGATAATAAAAAAATAAATAAAATGGTGAAACCATGTGTGTTTATAAACTGTGTTGTTATAGTATTTTGAAGTTTTTTGTTGCCAATGATATGAGCAATAATTTTTTTAGTCAAAAAAGGGGCTGCACTGAAAATATTAGGCTATGTTTGATAGCCCAATTTTTTTCATGAAAAAGGAAAATAAATTTCAACTTCCACTTTTGATCTGATTGATTGATAAAATTTTCTAGGGAATTCATTTTTCCCTTTTGACCGTCACATTAGCATTTTCTCGATTGTCATGGCTTTTCAATAATTGGTTCCATGTTTTCTTTTTATTTTTTATTTATTTATTTTATTTTATTTGCAATTGAAAAAAATTCTAGGAGCTGTACAATAGTATATCCCTTAAATTGACAATTTTCATGTAAAATAAAATCAAACGAACAACAAAAGATAAATGCTTTTTGGATTTTTCTGTTTTCTTGGAATTTTTTATTTATTATTATTATTCTTTTTTTGGTAATAGAAATAAATTTTAGGAACAATTGTAAAAAAAAATATCCCTTAAATTAACAATTTTCATAAAAAATAAAGCCAAACAAAAGAGAATAAACACTTTTATTTCAACATTTTCAAATGAAAAATTATACTAATCAAACACGATAATTGACAATTCCTAATAAAATAATTTCTAGACAATTCAATTCCTTAAAATTCATTTTCTTTCCATACAAATTTTATTTTTGCAATCAAACGAACCCTTAAATTATTTGCTTCCCTCGAGTAGGAAAATCCATAGTACAATCTTGTTGGTTGGTGGACGTGTGTGGTCACACATATGAGCAATAATTTTTTAGTAAAAAAAAAAAAGAAAAAAGAAAGATTTTGGATTTTTCTGTTTTCTTGGAATTTTTTATTTATTATTATTATTCTTTTTTTGGTAATAGAAATAAATTTTAGGAACAATTGTAAAAGAAAATATCCCTTAAATTGACAATTTTCATAAAAAATAAAGCCAAACAAAAGAGAATAAACACTTTTATTTCAACATTTTCAAATGAAAAATTATACTAATCAAACACGATAATTGAAAATTCCTAATAAAATAATTTCTAGACAATTCAATTCCTTAAAATTCATTTTCTTTCCATACAAATTTTATTTTTGCAATCAAACGAACCCTTAAATTATTTGCTTCCCTCGAGTCGGAAAATCCATAGTACAATCTTGTTGGTTGGTGGACGTGTGTGGTCACACATATGAGCAATAATTTTTTAGTAAAAAAAAAAAAGAAAAAAGAAAGAAGGCTGCACTGAAAATATTAGATTATTTGCTTCCCTCAAGTAGGGAAATCCACAGTACAATCTTGTTGGTTGGTGGACGTGTGTGGTCACACCAGTGGAGAAATTTCAACAACTACATAAAGGACATTATTTATGTATATCAAATGCAAAAATATCTAAGCCAAGAACTAATGTACATTGGATAAGGTTTACTGCACCTACTTATGGCTCTAACGGTTAAAAGAATAAGAAAAGTAACTCTTACCAACTTTATAAAGAGTACATAATATATTGTATTTCAAGTAATAGTAAAAATAGAGATATTAGTGAAGTCGTTGAAGAGATCGTGTTATTTTAAAGAGTGGTCATTTTAGGATATTAATTCAATGATTAACAAGAAAGTAGAAATCGAAGAGGACATATTGGAGTGAATTTGGATAAGATTGAGAAGTCTTGTAAGAATTTTGTGTTGGTAGAAAGGTTCATAATAAGCTATAAGGTCAGTTTAAACAAATAGTTATTAGACGTACTATGTAACATAGTATTGAATATAATTTTTAAATCCAACTTGGACCGACCAAATGATCGGAACAATTTTCTAACTAAACCATACAAGATATTGACCCATGAAAACTAGATTGACTAGGTAAAAATGACTCGACCACTCAAAAGCAGCAAGTGAATCGGTTCATTAATAATCTTAACTCTTATTCTATGTGTAGATTTGGAAAATATGTTTTTTTTTTTCAAAACAAGCGTTCTTATTTCCAATTGCAAGCACTTCTACACTTTTATTATTATTATTATTTTTTTTTTTTACTTTTCATTTTGATCTCCTTCTCTTTAGCTCTTTTCTTTAGCTGTCCTATGTCTATTGTCATTTTATTAGCAAAAGGTATTTCATTCAAACTTGATGTTCCATAAATTTTCCGGTTATAAAAAGTTCGTGATTTACTATTTTACATGTAATTTCGTTATTGTTTTATGTTTATTTGAAAATAATTAAGCAAATATAAATCATAATTAACCGAGGTTCAACTGCCGACCCAACGATTCAACTAGTGACCAAATAACACACTTACTTCCAGGGGATCAATGTTATTGAGTGTTGGTTTGCTTGAAGAAAAAAATGGTCATGAGATGGATATAAATGAGAATATACGTCAATAAATAAAGTATCGTTAATAAGGATAAAGTTATAAAAAAATCAATAAATTGACCGAATCATGACATGAGAAACGTGTATATATGAGCGGTGAGAGAACGTTAAAAGAGAGATGTAGACGAAAATTTACATGGTTTATCTAAAGTCTAAGCTATAATGATCTTCCAATAGATACTATAGTAAATCGAATAGAGTGACGAAATAATGTATTGTCTGTGGATTTCTAACAAAGATTTCTAGCAAAGAAAAGCTCCTTACTATGCCATTTGATTGTTTTGCAAGTGAGATTAGAAATTCCTTGTTTTCTTTAGAATTTCAAGCAAAGATCATCATTTTTTACCGTTTTGGAAGATACCCATTTCTAAGTTAGTCAATTATAGATGATGCAATTATTGTTGGTTTGACCTCTTCAAACTCTATAACACACTTGAGCTATACAAGCACAGAGAAATGATGTCTATGATAAGATATCCAACAACAATAAATGTTTATTTAATTTTGAATGGACTACTTGAGATCTTTTGGAAATAGATGATGAATCTCCTCTTCCTAAACAAACAAATTTAAAGAAGGAAAATCGACAAAAAGTTGCATAAAGCCTTGAAAAAACAACTCCATATAAATCCAATGAAGCCCCTGTTTGGCCTCCATTTTGTGAAAATGAAAATGAGTGAAATATTTTATTTTTTTTTAATGAGTGATTGATAAAGAATGAAAAAATTTCGGTTTACGTTTAATATTATTTTATGGAAGATTGTGTGGTTAAAAATATGAGAAAAAGAAATAAAATGTAATGAAATGAAAATTAATGGAGACCAAATGGGGCGAAAATTCTTCACAAATATAATAACTTTTGGTAAATAAGATACCGAAATGGACAATAAAACGGACCATTCTGTGCTAGAAATTCCTAATTCTTATTTGTCAATGATATTACAAGATAATTGATTGATTTCTATAAATTAATTTCATTAATATCATTTATTTTTTTATAGAAAATTGACTTCGATTTTTAATAATCATATTACTTTTCTATTATAACACCAGACTCTCTACTCTCAACGACTTATATTGAGTCATGTGGATTGAATCAATTCTCATTAACGAATCAAGATTCAGTTCCAACACAAAATATCGACTAAATGCATATTGACGAATACAATGCATTATGGAAGAAAATAGTAAGGAAAATCGAAAAGATGTCCCTCATCACATTAACATGAATGATTTTCAACAATAGAAAAATAACTTAAAAATTTAGCTTAGGATGGACATGTTAGGTCTTCAAAATTTGACACACTTATGGAATTCAGTCTATGATTCTTTAGCTAGAAAATACACGTAGGTTTCTTTATTATCTTCCATGTATATATTATCCATCAATTTCCAAAATTTCATGTAAATTGTGATAGTCCAATCTATTTTTAATTATATCACCAAATTAATTAATATTGATGTAGAATCCAACAATGACCATGTGATTTAACCACCAAGATCTTAGCCTTCTTTTCAACGAAACAATAACTATACAATAAATAAACTTGCAAGGAGTCCAAGATTTGTTTTTTGACCACAGCTACTTGCATAATAATAATGAACAAAGTAGAGTATATTATAATTTGTTTATTGTGCAGTCTATGAAGATAAAAGTCCAGTAACATTGCAATATTATTTATCTAGTACTATTGCTTGGTACGTAAGCTATAGCATTAGTCATACAAGTAGTAGAATGATCGTTATCTATATATTCGATACTTGTATGGTACAAAAGAGGACTCGATTAAAAATTGTCGAAGTGTTATGATTATTTAAAATATTTTTAGCCTGAAATAATTTCATTTAAAACAAAAGTTAGCCATTTCTAATTTGCTAAGCCAAGATGTACAAAAATTTGGGTTCAAGGTCTAACGTTAAAAGTATCAAACACGTGTATATATATGTATCCAAAGTTTTATGAACATCGTAGTAGACTAGTAGTCCAATTCGTTCTTGTATTTGTACAACGTATTTGATATGATATTTGAATAGTATTTTTAGATTAACTTACAAAATCTATCTCGTGTCTTTTTCAAAACAACAAATAAATTTAAAACCCTATTATATATGTCCAAATGTACCGAATTGACATGGATGTAGAATACAACAATGAGTCAATGCCCATGTGATTTAGTTACCAATATCTATGTTTTTTTCAACAAATCATTAAATTATGACAATAATATACTTAAGGGTCTCAAAACTTTGTTGGCCATAAATTTT